TCCACGGCCCTCCAGTCTGAGCGAGGACCCGTTGGGCACCATCCCAGTGGTTCCAGCCACAGCTGCTGAGCCGCTCAGCTTAGGCCCTGGGATGGTGGCACCGCCATCTCTTCTCCCATCTTTCCCCTGGTCACTGACACACCACCTCGACGCTGTGCACGTCACCTTGAGGTTTTGTTTGCGATTGCCAGATCAATTCATGATCACTGCAAACGTTACAGTAATAAAGTGGAAAGTGATGTCCCCCCACTAATGGCACCCCACCATTCTCACCGTGAATCACCAGTAGGAGGAGTTGAGTGTAGGGTTCTCCCCAATTTACTTGAGGGGTACAGACACATGCACACCCTCTTATACGTTATCTTTATTTTGCAGAAATGGGATCACACAACACTTTTTTACATCTTCCTGTTTATACTTAATAACATTTGATGCCTTTCAACGTCAGTATATGTAAACCTGCCTCTTGTAAATACACATACTATAATTTATCCAGTAAATGAACATTGTAGACTGTCTCAGTGAACACGACATTGTACATCTATGCCCACAGACACAGCACACCACGTCTGTGGCCTCCTCGCTGGGTAGTTCTGAAGGGTAAATTTCTATGAAAACAGGGGTGCCGGGTCAAGGGCACAATAAAATGTGAGCCGGTAGCACCTAATTACCCTCTGAAATGAGTCAGTTGTATGTGTTTGTGTCCTAATAGCAGTAAATAGAAATAGCGGTTTCTCCCCACCCTTGGCTGTAGGGAAACCTGGATCACCTCGCTTTCCATCCCTAACTGCGGACCTCAGCTGGCAGCTTTGAGAAGTACTGGTCAGCATTAAAGAATGTGTCTCTCCTGGCATTTGTGATGTTTTTCTCATGCTGTGGTTCTGGATTTGGGGAAGACCACGCAGGTGACATGCTCTTTTCCTCACAGTCACATCGAGGGCACATACTATCCCCAGGACTTACCCTCAGTGTTTGTTCAGTGTCACCTGTAAAGGAAGGAAGTCACTATGCACGGCCCTCGCCTCAGGGGGTGCGGGGTTGTGTCCCACCTCCCCGAGGGCAGAGAGTATCTCTGTGAATTATTTGTTACTCTTCTGTATGCAAGATGTGTGTCTTTTTCCCGCATGTATTTATTTAATCGTTTATATTAGTTGGACTCATGGCTTATTTATACTTTCGGTTATAATGTAATATTAGGGGGGGGGTTGTTTGTTTATTTACTTATTTTTTCTCAGACTGTTGGGTTTGGCCATCAGGAGCTCTTTCCATTGGCTACTGTGTCCCTTAGACACGCCCCGTCATGGTGAGTCTTTGAGCACTTGCCTACTTCCTGCTCTGAAAGACCCTCCAGGCTCATCTGGTATCATTTGCAGCCCCAGCCCTACAGTCGGCCATCTTTCCAAGAATCCATAGTTGGTCTGGCTGGAGAATGGTGTTAGAAACCAAGATCTAGACCCTAGGTGTGCTCACTGCTAGCATGTGGCCTTGCTTCTCCGGTGCACTCAGCTGACAGCAGGGGAAGGTGTGTCTGAATACTCTCCAGTGTGTACGCACATCTATTAATATTCCTGTAGGTAGCCACCTGCTTCGATAGTATGCTAAACATGAGTTCATACAGATGTGTTCAGCTCTAACCTGTTACCACATGGATCATTCTAGCCTCTTCCCCATCCCTTCCCTTTTTTTTTAATTGGACCATATAATTCACACACCATAAAATTCATCCTTTTAAAGTATAAAATTCAGTGGTTTTCATACATTCCCAAGGTTGTGCAACCATCACCACTATCTAATTCTAGACAGTTCTACCATTCCATAAGTCACTCCCCAATCCCCACTGCTGCTCTTCCCCCAGCCCCTGACAAACAATAATCTTTCTTTCTCTGTGAATTTGTCTACTCTGGATACTTTATATAAATGGAATCATACAGTGTGTAGCCTTTTATATCTGTTTCTTTCACTTAGCATCATGATTTTGAGGTCAGTACATGTTGTAACATGTATCAGTACTTTGTTCCTTTTTGTGGGTGAATAATATTCCATCATATGGATGTACCACATTTTGTTTATCCATTCATCAGTCAGCGGACATGTAGGTTGTTCACGCTTTTTAGGCTATTGTGAATAATGCTGTTACGGACATTCGTGTACAGTTTTCACACTGCTGTGTGTTTTCATTTCTCTTGACTGTATACCTAGGAGTGAAATGGCTGGGTCATGTGGTAACTACATGTTTAACATTCTGAGGAGCTGTGTTTTTCCACAATGGCTGCACATTTCATATTTCCACCAGCACTGTATGAGGGTTCCAACTGCTCCAAATCCCTGTGAACACTTGCTATTTTCCATCATTTTGATTATAGCTGTTCTACTTGGTGTGAAGTGATACCTCATTTCGGTTTTTTATTTGCATTTCCCTGATGATTGAAGATGTTGAACATCTTTTCATGTGCTTATCGGCCACTTGCATTTCTGCCTTGGAGAAATGTTTGCTCAAATCCTTTGCCCATGTGTTAATTTGGTTATTGCCTTTTCATTGTGGAATTGTAAGAATTTTTAAATATTTTTTGGATGTAAAATATCCAAAATATTTTCTCCCATTCCATGGGTTATCTTTTCATTTTGTTTGAGTTTTAGTTTCACTTTTAACATTAAAAAACATGGAGCTTTTCAAAGAAAATAAGTAGGTAATTAAACTTACCAAAATATTTTATCAGTGTTTGCTCAGCCTTCTTTTTTTAATTTATCTAATTCTTACTAAAACATTTCTCCTAATAATTCTTTTAGTGAATGTTTAGAAGTGGTTAACTTTCAGTTTTATATGTGCAAACACATATTTATTTTGCCCCTAAACTTGAATGGTGGTTTAGCTAGGTATAAAATTTGAGGTTCATAGTTTCTTCCCCTCAGCATTTCAAAGGGATAGCTCCTTGATTCTGTTATTGTTGAGATGCCTGCTATCTAATTATTTCTTTGTAATATTTTTACCATGATATATTTTTTAAGGCTTTTTTCTTTGATGCTCCACAATTTTACTATGATAGATGTTATTTTAAATTGACTTTTATTTATCCTACTTAGTACTTTTTATCTGAAGATCCATATATGCCTCCTTTCTGGAAAATTGCCAGCTATTATTTTTTCAAATTAGTCTCACTATTATTTCATCATTTCTCCTGTTTTAGCTCCTCTTAGGCATCCATTGAAACCTCTTAATCTGTCCTTTGGGCTCTTTGAACTGGTTGTTCATACTGTTTGTATCTGGGACCCTGTGTTATCTTCTGGTTCAGTTCCTCAGCACTGCTTTTTAGTTCATTCATTTCCTCTTTGAGTAGTGTCCCGTCTGGAGTTTATGCCACTTATTGAGCATTGTTTTTGTTTGAAATTTGAATGGTTCTATCTTTTATGTCCTCCGTTTCTAAATTTTCCTTACCAGCTATTCTCATTCATTCATGCCTGTTTTGCTTCATAGCATGTTCTTTTTATGGATATTAGTCCTTGATGAAGGACTTTCTGACATCCTAAACACATTTATTTAAAAAGTTTTCCAGTCTTATATCACTGATTTCATTTGGAGTGAATACATGTTCCTGATTGAAGAGTTTGTAGACTGTCTTACTTAGCATGAGATTTCTTCATGGGTGGTGGATTTTTTAGTTCAGGTTCAATTTGAGTAAGAGGTATTTTTTGTTTCTGTTTTTCTCTTACTTTTTCTCTTGACTAACTTCTCCCTGTCTAGCGGTTTTGGTTACTTCCACCCCACCCACCATCCGGGACCAGGCCTTATGATGGTGCTTTAGCGCCCCTGCCCCACAGTAATATTGGGAAAACATGTTTCAGTTCCTAGACTTGAGCCTGTGTCTGTCTTCCTTCCTAGATCCATTGGTGGCCTTAAGCCCTGGTCCACTGGTGTGCTGGAGACAGCTCTTGAAAACCAATTATTAAATTTCAAGGAATTTCATAAGCTGGTTGTTAAATCGCCATTATTAAAAATTAAATTATACAAAATCATCATTAAATATATTAAAAAGCAAAGGTAATCCACACTCAAAACATGCCATTTTCTAATGATCTTGCTGCACAGTACTATCATCCATGCTCTCAAGGCTCTGTTCAGCGCTTATATCTGTATGCCGGAAACCTACGTGACGGAGGGCTCCGAGGCCTCTCTTCTCACTTTAGTGACGTCACATTAGTCATTTGAAATCAGCCATGATAAGAGTGTTGAAACCATGGAAATCAGGAACATTATAGGTCAGGTCTTTTTTTTTTCCCTTCTGGAGTGCTTGTTAAACACACCAGCACACCGCAGCCCCGGCCCCAGGCAATGGGCAGCAGTTTCCTCCCAGCTCCTTCGTAAGCAGAGGTGTTTACGCCACCCCTACTTCCAATGGACGCCACGCTTGACTTCCTCGGCTCAGGAAGTGTTTTCAGTCCTGATTTTCTTCTAACGAGAGCTGAGCTCCCAGCAGCAGTGCAGCCCCACTCGTGGCTCTGTCTCCCTGCTTTGTTTCTGGTCCATAGCACTATTTATTTGGGCCTTGAGGCTGCCTCAGTCCTTTGGTCTTCTTTTTTATGTTTTATCCATTACTGCTTTAAGTTTGGAGTGGAGGATGTGCATTAAATATTGAACATGCTATGCTATCTGAACTAGACGTGTAACTTCCATCATAAGGCTGCTTCTGTAGACCTCGAGATGGTTCCTTCAGCCATGTTCATCTTGCCCGCCGCAGCCATGCACCTTCTCTCACTTCTGTGCTCTCTTCCCTAATGCTTTCCTGTACTAGTTGTGACATACGTGGTAGCAACATATTGTACATATGAGTTATCCTTTAAAGAGAGTCTAGGTGCCACATATGCTGCCTTTTTTATTATACACTGAAGAACATTATGCATTTACTATCATAACATACTGTTGCTCACAGGAGAAAACATGGGCACCCCCAGGTTACCTAAATGGAAGTCCTCGGCCCCCTAATGTTTTTTTCCGTTCCCCGCAGGTATCAAAGCTGTATTCTCAGGCCACTACCACAGAAATGCGGGGGGCACCTACCAGAACCTTGACATGGTGGTGTCATCTGCCATCGGATGCCAGCTGGGCAAAGACACCCATGGGCTCCGAGTCGTGGTGGTCACTGCTGAGAAAATCATCCATCGGTACTACAGTTTAGATGAGCTAAGTGAGAGGGGAATAGAAGACGACCTGATGGATTTGATGAAGAAAAAATGATTGCCTTCATTTTTGATGCATTCACTTTTCCTTCCACTGTTTTTTATTTTTTATTTTTTTGCCAGAAACAGCAGCTGCACACAACCACTTATTGAATATAAAAGTATAGTAGGCAGATTTGTGAATTTATGTCCTTCTGCAGAAATCAGAGAGCTGGGTCCTATCCTAAATTATATTTGAAATAAAACTGCCCTCCCTTTAAAACAGAGAAGGGGCTGGGGGTTGGAGACTGGGAATAAAAGAATAAATGATATTAGAATATCTCTGCATGGGTGTTTGAATAAATCCTTCTGATGATGTGTTGCTCAACTTTCTAAAGTTCTCTGCTTCTTAATTTGATTGTTTTCTGGTAGCATATGGCAAAATGTCTACCAGCTTGACATCCAACTGCGACCTTCGATAATTCCTTGAACAAACTGCCTCCAATCGTGTTAAATTGTGGTCATGGCTCCCGTGCTCGGCAAAACAAAGGTCATCCCCTCTGCCTCCTACCAAAATGAACAGTGTGTCCCATGACCCGAGCCATGCAGACTCGTTTTAACAAGGAGCTGAGTAGCCAAAATTCGCGGTTAAATGTTGAGACTTCTACGATTGCTGTTGATGCTGTTGATACAAGTCAGAGCTCGAGTTGACCTTTTTGGTGACTAGAAAAGTCCCCTCTGCACTCAAACCAGCCATGTGTAAAATCTCATCCAGGAGACGAGAGCCAGAGCCCTGAAGCGCAGCCTGCTCTCAGCTCATTCACATGCACATTCGATGCCGCAGTAACTTTGCAGGTTGGTGTCCTCATGCGATCGGAGGGCCGCTCCATTCGTGAGAGTGTTCACTGTGTTGACTTTAACAGACAAAGTGGGACTTGATGCAGAGTTCTCCAAAGAAACAAAGCAGGAATTCCGGTGGGGCACAAACCGCTTTCAGCCACATTATCTGAGTTGGCACTGACTGTGATTGAATGCCCCAGTGCAGTGGAGCGTGGATGGTTCAGAGCAGATCGTTTGCATGCAGTGTGCTTTGCTGCATCTTCTCCGCAGTCCCCAACCACCGTGATATTTCACCCACGTAGTCTTTCTCAGCAGTCATCCTGGTGGACAAGGAACCCAGGTACTCCCGATCCTGCCAGGAGCCCCTCACAGCGTCACACAGTAGCATTCAGACATCTTAAAATGCCCTTAACAACTCACTGGTTACAAATGAACCGCAAAATCCATTAAATTAAAAGATTTTAGTCAACGTAGCAAAACCATGAGAAATTAAATAGAAAGATAATTGGATATGTAAATTCATAAGGAACAAGAGACAAGTTAATTATACCACAGATCGGTGGACACACTGTAGGTCATTGTTAACGTGGCACAAGAAAATTAAAATTTTTTTTAACTAGAAGACTCTTGTTCTGATGTTTTGCTGCCTTCTTGCTTTGTGTTCGTTTTTCTTTCCAACAGGTGTGGATATAAGAGTTCAAGAAGAGGAATTCAGTAAGCGGCATAACTGATAAGCCACACATTGGAGGCCTGGGCTGTGGTAACACTTGGAGAGTCACCTGCCACGATCGTGTCCCAGGATCATAAACACGGATGTGGGGCTTTTGGGGGAACATGAGAAGAGCTTCATCACAGGGGACTCGATGGAGCCGTCTTCATCCTGTTATGTGTGCAAATCGCTTTGGACTGTGGCACTTGAGTTTTGGGCAGGATTCAGAGATAATTGAAAGCAATGGAAATGAAACTGACTAAGTCTTCTTCCTGAAAAACCTAATAAGTAAAAGAATTGATTCGAAACTCAGCAAGAATATGCTAAGAATCGGGAATCATGAAATTCTCACCATTTTTATAGTAACCAAACCGCAGCATTCCCCAGTGGAGAGAAGTTCAGAAAGAAGTTAGGAAAGGATTTTGTAGATGAGCATGTATTATTCTGATAATAGATAATTACCAGTGCATTCACTTATGATTCTTTTTTCTTAAAAAAAAATTTTTTTAAGTGCCTTATACTGTGAAAAACAAGGAAACACTCCATCCTAAGTGCTGTGGTTTTGAGTTTTTATTATGTGCGATGTCCTAAGTGCTTTGGCTCAGAGAGGTGGGGCCATGTGGCCAAGGTCACACAGCTCACCAATGGGGAAGGAAGGATCAAGATGCAAGCAGAGCCCGACTGTCAGCCCATGCTCCTAAGCACTGCCCTCTCTTTCCTGGAAAATGTGTGTCATGGGTGAGAGGTTTGCGCTACAATATTCAGTACCTTTGACCATCTTTCCTGGGTGAGAACCCAGTGTTAGCTGGAGGCCCTGGGACTTCATCCTGATGTTTTCAAAGCCCAGGCAAGGCCCAGAAGCCCCTTCTCCGATGGCACCAGGTTCATGATGTTTGACAAAGTCTATCTAAGCAGGTTGTCGCTGACGGAGAGTTTTCACTGGAGCAGGTTGGAAAACAGAACTGAACTATAATGGTCCACAGGACACAGCTCTGCCCACAAGCGTCAATGCGGCTGATGATTGTCAGATGATGATGTCTCACTCTGTGTTCATAGTTGCTCCCACCCCGGGGGCAGGAACCCCCCAACTCTGTCAAAGCAATGAGTGTCACCTAATGCTCCCCGCCCAATTAATCGTTACAATTGGGGGAACAAGCAAGGGGCTGCTGAGAAGCAAAGGTTACTTAGAATGATCTAAAATTGGATTGTCAAGACTGACTAGCGTGTGGACGGGGTGGGGCGGTGATCATCTGCCTGCATTCACGTTTTACCATAAATAAGTTTCTCTCCAGCCTTCAGTCATGTTTCTCCTGAGGCTGGAGAACAGGGGGGTGAAAATCTAGTAAACATTATGGAGCCAGCTCTGAACAGAACATTTCATATTGTCTTGTGCTTTTCAGCATTACGAGATTGTCAGTCCCATAGAGTTGCCAGGCAGACACTACCATTTACCTTCTGTCCCTGCGTAAAGTACCGAGTTATATATAACTAGAAACTATATGCACATAATATGGTTTAATGTCAAAATCTGTATTCTAATGTGAAACCTTTTGAGAAAAGGTAACAAACACATCATTTGCATTTACCTGGGATCTTAAAACTTAATCTCCAAGTCGTGCATGAAACAGTTCTGTGCAGTCATGAAATTAAGGAGCAATATTGTATTGAGCTGGAGGGAAAAAGATGATTTAGGAATAAATTGTCAAGGCAAGTCCTATTAAAAGCTCTGTGTAATAGACACTAGGGATTTTTCCTTCAGATAACCTTAGCAGTGTTGGTGGCACATGCAAAAGATAGTACTTGACAGGTAATATTGATGTTTTTTAATTTCATAAAATACTGTCTTATGCCATTGGGGATATATATATATATATATATATATATATATATATATATATATTTCTTTTTTAGGAATAATGACTTCTAACATCTTTATAGAAAATATTTATGGACTAAATTCTCTTTATCCTCTAATTTTTATTTCCAACATTTTTTTTAAACACACAGGTATATACAGATTGAATTTTTCCTTTAGGTTTTATCTGTGTAAATAAAGTTGATTGTGAGTAATTACAAGATACTTTTCATTATTCTGTTCTGATACTTGTCTTCACAAAGTAACGTTTGTCAAAGTCACTTTGCGCCTCCCCGAGAATATCATCCTCTCATCCGAACTCCTTCCTGTGGCTTCCCGGCCCCTCACGGTGCCCCACCCCCACCTCTCGGCAGGCCGCCTTCCCTTGCTGGCCAGTCCACTGCCCCTTGCCCTTGGTGTTTCCTCTGATGGGAGTTAGCTTCTTGTTGTCACTTTGATCCCAGCCCAAGTCACTCCCCAGACAGGCCTTCCCCTAGCATCGTCTGTGGTGGTGGCCCCCGCCCCCCAGATTACCAAGACATTGGCTTGTTTGGTGCCCTTGGTGTGTATCCCCCACCAGAACCAGGGGCTTCATCTGTCCCATGTACCACTCTCTTCCTGATGCTTAGAACTGCCTGGGGCACAGGGCAGCTGCTCAGTGAATATTTGGATCGAGTAAAGATACTAAGCAAGACACAGAGCACTGCTAATTATCAACATGGACGCTCAGAAGAAGGGAGGCAGGTGGGGAAGAAGGCTGCATTCCTAAGCCTCATGGCTGTTCTTTGGGGATTGTCCTCAAAGTTAGGTGTTGTCAACTTCAGTAAAGTAGCTAACAGCAGTGCTGATGTTTTTGGTTCTCCCCTTGCTGTGAAGAAACGGTAGGGGGTGGAGGGGAGGCTCAGAGAAATGTCCTTGACTCTTTGTAGTTCTAAGCCCAGCTCACTGAACTAATATGGTACCGGGAACCAAAGCCGGTGAGCCCAGAGAAGGGACTGGCTTTGGACTCAAGGTTCTACGGGACGCTGTGAACCAGATGGCTGGAAATACAAGTATAAAACCCAGAAAGAGAAAACTGCATCTTAGAAGTGCTTCGTGGAGAGGTTATCTGAATAAATGAGATTCCAGAGAAAATTTAGCAGCACTAGAACCTTAAAATACACCTTGAGGGACCACCTTTGTTTCAGAAAAACAAGAGAGGGAAGCCAGTGAAGAGAGCAAAGAGTAATCTTTTTTTTAAAGTTCAGACTGGTGCACATTAAACAATAGGAAAAGGAATGGGCTTCCCTTGGAGTTCAGTGGATTAAGCCCCCACAGACCAGCCCTCCCGCGGATATCCACAAACTCTGAAATACTGCCAGCTGATTCAGAGAGAGAACAAAAGCAGGAACTCAAAACAACCTCCTCTCACCACACTTTGCTCTGAGGGCAAAACACAGTTGTAGAGCAGGACATCAGGGAGGGACAACGTTTTTATAAAAAAATCCACCATCTATTAAAGCCCAAATCACGGAAGAGGGGAGAGCTGGGCATGGGAGTCCCCTAATTTTGTATGTGAACTTCTGACAGATCTCTGGCTTACCTCTAAGTATGCACAAACAGACCAGACACAGGCCCAGAAGCTTAACAAACTAAACTGAGATTGGAACTACAGCCCAGAGCAAGCAACAGAGAACTTACACTTGGAAGTCTATAATCGAGTTAATTGCCTGCTCAAGCAAAAACCTCAGCATTCAGGAATATAACAGAGCCTCGATTTCCCACAACATAACGTGTCCAATGCCCAGGATACTATTCAGAAACAGTTGGTGTGCAACCAAGAGCCAAACAAACAAGAAAATGGGAGCCACTCTCAAAGGAAAAGACAACCCTAAGATATCCCGGATGTTGGAATTATCACACTAGGGCAGGAAAGCAGCTACTAGTGCCAGAAATGCCAAATATACAACCCAGCAGATGTCACAGGTCATCAAAACAGACAGGAGGAGGGTTCAGGACAATGGGAAAGAGTGCCTTGCTGAGTACAGGAAAGCCACGCTACAAGATGCTAAAGAAATGAGTAGCAAGAAAGAAAAGAGAATAAGCAAGGACCACGTTTTCCAGGGAATTTGGGAGGGCAGTGCACAGACTTATAGGTGCAGAAATGTGTGGGTTGAGCATTTAACCGAAAGAGGAAGCATTCAAGAAGACAAGGGTGAAAATGGACATGGAAAAGGAAAGTCACCAATGGCACAGACACCAGAAGGGGAAAGAAAGGGGTTGGGAACACAGCCTTGACCGTGAGGTGGGAAGGAGGAGGATGGAACCGGGTGTGATGCTCAGATGGTGGGCGGACCTTGGGTGGATCGGTTGATTAACTGACTGATGGACAGCCATATTCCACTCTCTGCGAGTGCATTTCTCAGAGGTTCTCTGCATGTCTGCCGCATCGTGGAGCAGAGGAGACTCTCTGGGTGTAGGTACAGCTCACGTTGGTCTTGTCAGGCAAAGCCACCATCTGTACAGCTGACACCCATCTGGCTTTTAGTGAATCTCTGCCCCTGGCAGACCTTAGGGACATGTTGTGGACTTGAAAGGAGGGCGTATTAGGGTGTGGCTGACTACCGCGCCTTATAGAAGTCTCTTCTGGGGCTTTAAAGCTGTCCTCAAGCTTCCATGGAAAAACCACCCCATACTATCTTTGAAAGGCTGCCTGGATTTGCCGTTTGGGGAACTACCAACTAGAACATCATATCCTCCACCACATATTTTAGCTCTCTCAGATTTCCTAAAAGCCACTGCAATGAAGCGGTGCTGTACGTATCACGTGGGCTGCGTCTCCCTGGCCTCCGGTGTTTGTCACACAAGACCACAAGCCCCTGAGGACCACAACAGCTTGTTGTCCCCTGTTCTGGCACAGGGGACAGGGCCTGGTTCTCCTTACAGACATTTGTTGGCTCCCTGCTGATACACTCCACTCAGTAACCCTCCCGCGTCACCAGCCTTCCTCACTCCAGTGACTCATCTGTCCCAAAACCACTTGTTCAGGAGGGACCACGCCCTGTGCCACCAGCACACAGACCAGCCTGTGGCTTCAGTGACACCATGGAACACGGATGCTGTCCTGTGTCCCGGCAGCTTTCTCTGCTCCCTCTGTCCCTGGGAAGCTGTGGCACCAATAGCATTAATTACCACTGTGTGATGCCATTCCCACGTGAACTATGTTTAAGATGAGATGAACTTCTAAGCCTTGGAGTCACATACACCAAATGCCGACTGGGCAGCATGACAATGTCCCAGAGAGGACTTAGGCACTCCGTTTCCAAAATTTAATTCATCTCCCTTCTAAACACACTTTGTCTTCTATTGTTCCCAGTCTTGACAAGTGGCAGTGTCCCCCACACATCTGCCTTGAGCCGGAAACCCAGCACCCGCCTCTGCCTCTGCCCCACGCGCCATGTCCCA